TATATATATATATATATACCAACATGCCTTCTGGAGTGTTCTGGATACAACTAAATGGCAAAAAAAAGTACATCTAAACAGAAAATGGTACTTTCAAATTCAATTCTGTCATTCAAGAAGGCAGGTGAAACACAAACACCGTGGTCACATGGAATCACAATAAGCCCCACAGATAAATGTCAACATCATCAAAGGAGTAGTAACCCTTTATTGATAGTCACCAGTGAGATAATCGCTCTTCCAGTTCCCTCAGGAGGTCTCGATTGAGTTCGTACAGCTGAGGTAGGTAGTACAGGATCTGATTCAGGATTCTATCTTCAATCACTGGCTTTCCAAGCTGCCTAGAGGCATGTGCCACAGCGTCCCGGAAATCCTGCCGGAGTACAAAGGACAGAAACCCCCCTTCTCATGAGCGAGCAGCTTTCAAAGCACCAACACAGACAACGCCGTCCTCTCTGCAGACATTCCAGGCGCTGCTCCCTATTACCAGAGGCAAGGCGGGTACCATCTGGGTTATGTTTCTCTGCAGCTTCAACTTACTCCCCTGGGACTGCCTTAATCCCTTTGGTTTGATGCTGGAGCTTTACTTTCTTGCTCCTGTATGCATAATATAGAAGTTGTTCATTATTTTTATAACACACCCTTAAGAAATGTGCTGGTACTACATATGAGGAAACTAAAGGGGGAAAAAGCTTCTATCTGCAAGAGTGCTGGCAGCCTTGAGTATCTTCCTGCTAATATGTGGGCCAAAAAGCAAAAGTGTTGTATCAGCTAATATAATATCTTATTTTAAAATCATATCGGTTTTCATAAGTCATCTACAAATGAACTTTGAAAAATGTGCCTCTTGGACAAAAATGTAGGGTCACAAAAAACTCTGTAGCAGCTCTTCCATAAACAGTAAAATTAACATCTAACAAAAAGATATTGTAACAACATACGGGAACCATAAGATTTCAAATGTTAATGATGATCAAAACCAACACTGGTACCTTCAAAAGATTTACAAGGAGAAGGAAACTCCCGCTTATACTTGAAGGATGTTCTTACAGCATTTTTATGCTATAACCAGCTCCCAATAGGAGAGGGCTGTGGGTTATTGGTCCTCATTACAATTAAAATCTTGGCCTCACATAAATCAGTATGGCCAGGATTGCATTTGTATTGAAACTCAGTATCCATTACGTGAGGTATTTTCCCTGATCACATGGAAGAAAAATATTTTTAAAACATTTAGCAATTTAGCATTTCAGTTGAAAAACAACACTGTCTAAACAGACAAAAAAGAAAATACAAATGAGGTGGTGTGCTATAGTCGTGTCTTACTTGTATTTGGGCAACAGTGGAAAAAAAGACAATCCGTAATAGATCTTTTTGAGTTTGTGGTCTGCTGAAACCTGGTAACGTGTGCATAATCTATAGGTATCCTGAAAAAGGTGACCGATGGCATGTTCCCAAGTACAACAATGAGTCATATGTGCATGGGGTCCACACCTGATTTCAAAAATCTGTAGGGTCCTCAGGTTGGGGGAAAAAAAAAAAAATTAAGCTTGCTCTTACCCTCCCCCCAAGACTACTACTACAGCTCTTAGTAGCTATCTCATCAGTCCAGCATCTGGTACTATTTATGGTCTCTCAAACTTAAGCCTCAACTTTCCCCTGCCCTCTCTCCTCATTACATCAGCTCTGGGCAGTGTAAGACCAGACACACTTTTTTGCTTTGTGACCCTCTGGGTCATGAAGGCTGTGACTGGGCAGAAACTGAAAGGAGATACAGGGTGATGGCTGTGATGGGGGAAGGCTGAGAACTAAATGCAAGGGAGTTAAAAAACAGATGGCGTTATTCATATGGAAATGTTCTGTTTTACATCCTCTGTGCAGCCTAGTGACACATAGGTTAACTACCAGCTGCATCTTATGGGTTTTCCTGACCCTAGGGCATTGCTTAACACTGAAATGATACATGGAATTAAAATGGCAAAAGCTCAAATGAGGCATTCTGGAGAGCTTCATGCAAAATGCACCATCATATTATTGCACTATTCTCCCCCTCCCCGAAATCACAAGCACACACAATATACTGTATGTGCTTTGCCACGGGATGAAAGAAGAATTTTGTCTGAATGTTATAAGGCTATTTGCACGATGAAAAGAAAAGCCATTTTGTCTGTAGCATAGTCAACAAGCCAGGCTTTTCCCTGACCAAACAATAAAAGGAGGGCAGGCAATCAGGTTTAAGCACCAGTAGATAAGACAGGAATGTCATTTGGAGTTAAGATCATTTATTTAACTTCTAGATATAGCATTTAAGGAGTCTGCCAGATGTTTTCCACACACAGATACAGGGTTTTTGACTAGCTTGACCCAAAGTCCATCAGCTTCATCAGGTTTTGGATCATGCCATTGAAGATTCTACCATCAAAACAGCCAACCAAAACTTTGTTTAATCACCCTCTCCATCCTCCTCCACAACTGAGTAAATGGAGGAAGCCCTGCAGAGAGGAAACGTGGGCAGGAAAGGTAGCCGAAGCCTTCAAATGATGCAAACCAGCTTGCTGAACAAGAAAAGAGCTAAACTTCAACAGCTTTTTTCTTTTTTTTTCTTTGAATTATCAAGTCTTCCCTACAGAAGCAGTACAATGCATTTGTCACTGTAATCATATTAAGATTTATTTTTAACCTGGCAGTGGGTGTAAAGTAACTGTCATGCCAAGTTCATCTTGAGATAAACTTAAGAATTGGAGGCAGAGCACATGCCTGAGGAGTGGGGGTAGGAAAAGTCAAACAAAAGTAGCAAAGATTGGAGATATGTTTACTCTGGAAGGTACGGGCCTTCTGAGAAAGTAATTTCTTATCCAAACGAACAAAACATGAAATAGTTCTGTTTTAATTACTAAAGGTAAACTACATTAATTTAAAAAATATACCCTGAAATTTCACTCCAAAAAAAGTGGAAGGTGATAAGGAAAACTTTTTGTATAAGTAGGTTAGTTACTTAGAAACTAGAAACTGCAGTTAACAGTCATTTAACACACCAGAATCTAATTCCTTTTAAAACTAAATCCATTCCCTGACAAATAAAAACAAGAATCACTGTTGGAAATAATAGATATGTTGCTCTGATATCTATACATACACCTGCAAGAAATGGTTCACATTACAAACATATTTAGTGTATAAGGCTGTATAAAACTGTTGAGGAGCACTGCTTTCATCAGTCTGTTCAAAGACAGTCACCTGAGTCGTCCTAGAAATTATTCTGTTTGAAGCAATGCAGCAATCCATTACAGTTAATTTTAAAGAGAGAGATTTTCTAATTAAAAATGAGCCTTTCCAATATTACGGTCTTACTCAAAATATAAACTTGCCATGCTTTGGAATTAATGTGCTTATTTCACTGGAAAATACCATTTGCAACTCTAGGCAAAAGTTTCATATGCTGCATGACAGGAAACAAAAGATGATGCTCCTTATACTGTATACTGATAGTTATACAACTTCCTAACAGGATAATTTTTCCTCTCAGAAGGAGGGAGGCTACTTTCTGAAATGCTGGTTTACAGTTTCTAATTCTACATCATATTCTGTTCCAGTAATCTTCTGATACCAATTTTTACTGCTTAGGCAAAGGCCATTGTCTTCACACAGCTACTTTAAGAGGGCAACACTCATCACTGTCCCTGGAAAGCCCATTCTTTCTGAAACAGAAACAGTCTTAGTTTACTCTAGACTAAGACAGCATTCCACTGGGTACTGCTTGTCCATCTGAAAATTTAGTTTAGGTAGTTTTAAAGGCTTTTGGATACATGTTGTTGCTGAATCACTGCCTGCTAAAATATTCCCAACTTGAAAATGTTTAGGGAATTTCATTTATCCTATTAGTATACATTCCTCTTAGAGCTGTGCAGTTTTTAAACAATATTTGAGGAGGATGCCACCATTGCTACTTTTGTTTCCTCCCACCCCTCCTTCAATGCAGCTTCCTTAAATAAGGGAAGGGCCATGATATCTGAAATAATTCTGACTCTGCTGTGAATCATCTGCGATCAGCCCACGTACTTCCCCTCTGCAAAAGCCCTGTCTCAAAACCTCTCTTAGATCTTTCCACAGGAGTATTCCCATCATGCAGCAAAGCAACCTGCCCGTGTCAGTCTAAGGAGTAAGTTTAGTGGTAAACCAAAACTGGTACTGACCACACTAAACCCTTGCTCAGCTGCTGACTGGGTTAAGCCCACCTTCAGGTTTCTAACAGCTTAATGAAGATGATTTCGAACAGGTAAAAGCAAAAATTCTCATAAATTCAACTGGAAGAGAAAGAACTACGTGATCTAAATGAGGTCATGTGTTTTACTCCTAAGGCTTCAATCAATATTCATCTTGGATCTGTTCTCCTAGAACATACCATCAGCAAAGCAAAAATAAGACATAATCCCTTCTGCTGAGGTACAGCTCCCAGCTAAATACACCTGCAGATAGCTCAAATATCAGTTTAATTTAAGGAAAAAAATATGTTTGCACTTGGATGCTTTTCAAGGAACACACACACATCCTACGAGCGGGAGGAGGGAAGGGGAGGAAGTTTCATGCACTGGGGAACAGCCAGGCTGTTATACGTGACAAACTGTAAACACAACTGCTAGGAATACAGCTACAGGAGATTTCACAAATACATTATTTAAAATATAAATAGGCAGCCTTAACTAGATTTAGACTATTAGCCATAAACTGTTCAGTTAACTATAGCATCATTAAGGAAGACTCTGAATAAGTGTGGATCATGACATTTTTCAAATATACAAGATTGCTTCTGGAAAGCTGCCAGGTAGTTCCACATCTTTTTTTCTCAGGTAGTAATGTAATTTATAAGTCTTTAGCAATATAAGATTGCTATTTTTTTGCAATAATCAATTATTTGACTATGGCATATTCCCAGAATGTTATTTCAAGGAATAGTCTGGGTAGCAGAATAGTATTTCTTTCCAAATCAAAACTTTCATTAGCCTTCTTAATAAGATGACTACAACTGCAATTCTTTGTCAAATGCCTCAATCAGCAATTCTAAAGCACTACATAGACTAAAAATGTACCAACATAGTCACCTCAGACTGGTCCAACAACTGAAATTTTACAGTTGGAGGAAAAAGAGTTGGAGGTTGAAAAATTTTTCACAGCCAAACAGTAGTCATTTGTAAGCCAGGACCAGAGGTCAGGACTTCCTTTGCTCCAAAACCACAGCTATTTTGTTTCTCAATATGCACATTACATTCTCCAAATGTACTATAAATTATTTTTCATAATATTTGGCTACAATATACAAAAGTCTAAGTTTTTACAGATATGGGGAACCATATATATAGCCTATATAGTTATATACAATTTTGCAATCACGTCCTAAAATTGGAAAGATATCAAACCAGTATTCCTCACTCTTGTGTCTTGGGAAGGATGCACAACAGAAAAAAAGAAATATGTTTGACTTCTATCTGCCTTCTCCAATAAGAGGCTGATCTGTTGCTGCAGAAAAGTTAAGAGGTGCCTCCTGTCAACCTCCTTCTTGCTCTCAGAGACCTAATAAGAACAGAACGAGGCTCTAAGTCAGAGGCACAGATCTAAAGCTCAGGCAAAAGCCCAGAGGCCTAAGCTTTTCTTTGCTCACACAGCACAAAGTCCTACACTAAGCCTTGCAGTGGAAAGAGCCATCTCAAAAAGCGTGTTCCTCTGCTGGACCAGAAGCCTTGCTGACCATACTGTCGCAGTGCAGGGGAAATCAAAAAGGGTGGGAAAACAAAAACAGTGGTGTGTTTTGGCAAAAGAACAAAATTTGGAACAAAAAAGGACAAAAGAAATGACAGCAAATAAACCAGGCAGCTTACTCTTACAGCACCAGGGTGCTGCTGAGGAGGTCCTCTCACTTGCACAAAGCAAAGCATTTCCAAAGCACCCCACAACAAAGAACAAACGGTGCCAGTACTACCTTCCTCCTTCTCTAGGAACACCAGGTGTTTTTTTGGGCACAGAGCATCTCAGACAAGTTTGTTTCTCTTATTTACTTATGCTTTACATCCAGTTCACCTTCCTTTTTATTTTTTTTTTTCTGCAAGTGCCCTTAGGGAAGAAACAGCACTCCTTGCATCTTCTCAAACCTTGTTTAGCCTCTGGAGGCCATGAATGAACAATCCCACAAAAATGCATACAGATGAGCTGGCTTGATTTAAGCCCCTTAGTTTTCAGGAATTTCTAAACAGCATTTTACTAGAATCTTGTCCTCTTAAAAGAGCATTGTGATAGTTACAAAAACACAGGGAATTCAAGATTACAACTAATATCTGATTATTCCTTCAAACAACTCTGTTCACTGCGGTAAGTTTGAAAGTGCATCAGTGTGCAAAGCCAGTTAAGTGTCTTATCTCTGCTATGACCAACTTATTTTGAATTGTTGATGTCTCCAACTGTTTATAATTTTATAGAGAATTTTCGTAGTCTGTTTTTAACAGAAGCAGTCAGGTGCACTTAGAAAGTGCAACAACATCCAAATAGACTGGCACCCTGGTATCTTGGAAGAGCTGCTCCACCTAACTTGACTTTGTCAATATACAGGAAAAAAAATGCTAAAAAAAATGTTCAGTGGTACTTGTAGCCAGTTTGCAATCACATTCCCACCTTCTCAACTGCTTTAGACTCCACTTCAAATGCTCTAAGCAGCAGCACCTTAAAAATCTTTTCTTACATCAACAGTCTTGTTCCCTGGCTGTGCTAAGAGCCAAGAGCTGCATTAACTGGCATTGGTAAGAGACGTTGGGAAGAATTCAATTAATTTCAGATCATTGCTAATGAAATTAATCAGTAAATTTTGAGCACTTACTCTTTGGAAATCCACTAACAGATGGTTCAGAAGGTGTAATGGAGGCTCCTCTGGCCAGCAAAAGCTTTGCTATGGGTAAAATAGCCTAGCCTGGGGATAATCTGAGTTTTAATTCTAGAAATTTGTCAAAGGCTGCTTGACTGGCACTTAGTAATCTCGACACTGAAGCTCACTGAAGCTAGTAGGCTGAAGTGGTTCAGTGCACATGAAAACAAAAAGACAGTTTTATCAATGTTTAAATATTATCCATAATAAATATATTATTAAATAAACAGATTCAATAATGTCTGTGACCAATATACAGAAATTGTCAGGCATACCACTCTATGGAAATAAAAAACCCTGTGTTTCTGCAACCTCTTCTCAGGTATGGCAATTTTTATTTAATGAAGAATGCACACACAGAGCCTGAAAACTGGTGCCCTTTTTGACAAGGACACTCACCAAGGTTCCTGCTGCAGGCCAATGGACAACATTGAGGACAAAGTATTTCCCTGACTCCCAGCATAGCATCCTTTCTGACATGACCAGACTGAATACATGTCAATAGTTATTGCTAGCCAACAAAAACATGTCTAATAGTTTTTCTTTGGCAGCTAGAAACTAGAACACTGTCATGAATAGAGTTGTGAGTTCCATTAAAATAAAGCAAAACACGTCCTACAGCACTGGCACATTTACACTGTGCAAACAACCTTAAGTTTATCCCAGAAACTTCCTAAACTCCCCACTATTTTCCCTCTCCCACATTCTTCCTCTTCATGCCTGCATCCTCCTCACAAACAGCCTTTTCTTTCAGTACTGCACGTTACCTGAAGAACTGGTACACTGAAAAGTGAAGACACCTCTAAGATATAAGTTATATACATGAAATTATTATAATTAAAAATCATATCGCTTAAAATTTGTCTATATTCATTAGAACAACTCTCTTCTTTTAACCAGTACTTAAGCTTGAGCTCTGTACTAGAAATCATGTTGAATATATGTCATACATTGGCTGCAATTGCCTAACCCAGCTTTTGAGAACCAAACTTGAACAGAATAAGAAAATCAGTTACTAAAAATAGAAGACAAAAGAGGAATCAGCAAATGGCATAGTGTTTTGTTTCATGAAACATCCCCATATTACAGGACTGTATGCATTCTTCTCTAAGAGCCTTTGTTCCCAGTTTCACAGAAAATGCTTCTCAAGAGACTGAGATACACCAAAGTTATCTGTTTGCAATACAACAACCACTTCTATTGCCCCATGGAAAAAAAAAAAAAAAATCACTATGCTTGCACTTAATATAGTGACAAAATGGTACAAGCACATAACACTTAGAAGTTAATAGGAAACATGTAAAATGGAGCTAGAGAAAGCTAAATTCTTCACTAATTTATTATCAACACCTTTAACTCTGCATGTTTAACAGATGACTAGTCTGCATAAGCATGGATTAAATACTTAACCCTTGCTACAGACAACATGTATTACAGTCACAGCTGTTATCAGAAAGTAAGCATCTGTTAAAGAATTGCAGCACCCCAAAATATGCTGCACTGGTGAGAGATGCACCAGTAAAGCTAATTAGTTACAAAACGTGTCTTTTTATGTACCATTTCTAAAGGTAAGTTGTTCCTGCATCCCCCCACTACTTAAAAAGTTTTCCTAACAAAAGAGTTTATTTTGGTTGCTATGGTACAAGTTGGCTTATAAATATCATGCTGATTAACATAAATAGATATACAATCTATTTTCAATATTCAAGTAATACCACCACTCAGCTGGAAGACTGCATACATTAATTAAGAAGATACAGAAGGAACCACCAAAACATTTATCCATTAAATAAAATTTGAAACTTTGAAATTCTGCTTAATTAGATTAATTTTTATATCTTGAACACAAGCAGAAAGTCACAAACACTACAGTAAAGGCTAAACATAGAACTTTAATAGATTATAACAAACAGAAGAAGAAACTTCATTTTTTGTGGTACTTACAATGTGTAAGAGCTTTAGCACATCCACAAACCTATCAGAAAAGCAAGAAAAAGCAAATAGTTATCTTTTGATTGCCCCATTTAAATAAATTGAATAGCTGTTAAGTTTAGGATTGACACTTACACTTTCTCTGAACTCATTATCTCCTTGGCAATATGGTAAACCTTTGTTTTCTTTCCAGCTGCCTTACTCTGCAAATAAAATTATATGTTATACTATGCAGCTATTAAAACTGTCACATAGATCATTTGCAGCTATTAGTTCCTCAAATCTAGTGTAATGATTCAACTGGTCTTTCGAATAAAAATGTTTTATACTACTTTTAAATCTCTTGGCTTTGAAATCTTCTGACTTTCCAGTATCTATTTACGTTGTAGCTGGAAACAATCTTAGCTAAGAGTAGTCTTTATAACACTATCAGCCTTTCTGTTTAATTATTACAGGAAGCACTGAAGCCCACAATGAAAGAAGCCCTAGCAAGTCACAACTGACAAATGACAATTATTGTTTAGCAGAAGTAGTGAAGTACAGATAATGTTTCCATAATTTTTTTTTTTAATTATTTTTTTTTTCCTGTTTAATACAGCAACAGTAGTATTTGAAGTAAACCCAAATGGGTTTCAGGAACATTTTCCTTACTGAAAAAGAAAATGAAAGAAAAAAAAAAATCACACTGAAAAGTAAGCTTCTGACAATCCACTAAGGGAGCTGCTGGAATACATAGCAACTGTACTGCAAAAATGTAGGAGTGTGAGCCTTGTCATCTACCTGAAACACTACAGAGATGACAGTGTTTTTGTGGAGGTGATGATGTGTGCACATTTGGCTTCCAAAAAAATCAGTGTTACTTTTTAACATCAGGTAGAAGGAACAGATATAAGAAAGCAAAAAGGGGTAAATGGCAGGATGCAGATGTGTGTTCTATACAGCATAACTCCTATGTACAATTTCCCTCAGATATAGCACCTTTCTCCAGAACAGCTCTCATGGTTTGCCATATGCTTCTCTACTGTCAGCTGTCATCACACCTACCAGATATATACAGGCTTTCATTTCAATTGGCTTCAAAGAAGAGCATGGATGAAGAGCACTAAAACATCACAGGATATACAAAGCAAGCGCAATGGAAGTCCTGCGGAGGCTGTATTGGCTATGGTAGTATAATATAGGCATTGAACAGGTTAACTAGAAAAGCAAATATTGGTGACATTATATATATGAAGCTTTGATTCATAAGTACTAATACTGCAAAACTTGTCTGGAGTTTTAGTTCTTCTCCAATCCTATAAACAAGTCTCAAGTGCTGGAAATCAAACTATAGAACTAACTACATTCATAGGTTGATTTTAATGATATTGTTATAGTAAAAAAAAAAATAAATTCTATTTTATTTTAATTTAATTGACACAGTGCTGATTTACTAAATTAAAATTAATTTCTAAATGTAATAATTTGGGGTTGCATCACATACATGCAAAATATTTTTTTTAAACATATATTACACAGATATCTTCACACAGAGTCGAGATTTTTCTTCTAAAATTAAACTTATTGACGAAAAACTTTTAGATCTTCCCAGTGAGGGTCAATCAGATTCATACAAGATTTTAACACACATCTCAGGCCTCTCTGCCTTTTTAGAAAGCACAGCTCACACGCTCCTGAATTCACAAGTAACTCAGTTATGCAGGGCAAGGTATCTGCCATCACTGTAGCTGTGACAGTTGCAAATGAGATGAAAATGGGTATTTTGAGAACAAGATGCTGTGGCTAAACAAATGCAAAACGAAATATCACAGTCTGTTTCCAACCCCATTTGAAAGACTTTTCACATACCAACTGGCACTGAATAGGCCCCTTTGCATTTGCTCAGCCAAAGATACTCTGGGCCTAAGAGTGTCTGTAATGGAGAATGGAAGGGATACAAATTGGCCTCTCAGGCACAGCACAGGAAAAGAACCTTGTAACTCCTGTAATGGATAAAAAAACCCACCAAAACAGCTAGATGCTTGTGGTAAGGAAAAATAATAGCAAGTTCAGCCGATGGCCGATGCAGAGATTGCTTCATTCTCCCATGCAGCTGCTCTCCCTGTTTGGAAGCTGGCTGTTAATGCCCAGCCGCGTGTGCTGGAGGCAGCTGAAGCAAAAGCCACCCAGCAGGTGCTTCACAGCCAGTGCTGGGCTGAGGCGTGGAACCTGCCTGAGAAGTCTGGTAACGGGGATGCCTGCCTGTCACACTACACTGTGAGATGTTGAGGGCATGTCTAGGGGCATGCAGTTACCTTCCATATACAGGTACAGTCCTGCTTAATTTCACAGGAACACGCTTTTCACTCAACTCTCTTTCCGTCCCCCTCTCATTATCAAGTCTTCTTTTTCAGTACTTAAAAGCCTCATTGCTTTTTTTTTTTTTTAATTATTGTTTGTTTTTAAAGCAAGGAAGCAAATGCAACTGCTATCAAAGGAAACAGCTGCCAGGACTGAAGCCAAGGAGAGGCAATGGTCTATGGGCAGGCTATCTATCAGGGCATCCACAGCTAAGTGAGAAAGTGAGTATCCCCAGGGAGAGGGATAGGACCTCCAGATCTTTATTTTATTCTGAGCAGTTAGCACTGTCTTTCTGCTCCTCATCTGGATGAGAAATAAGATTAAAACAGAGGAAATCATTTCAAGCTGGCACTTGCAGAAGCTAGCAGAAGGTCAGACTCAATCCCAACAGTCAAGTGTGGCTTAAACTCCTCTAAGGGCCACAGAACTGGCTCTGCAATGCTACAAGGACAAGTCTTTCTCACAGATGCTGATAGGATCTCCTCAGTACCAACAGAACGAATTGAGGAACTTAAATGCTGAAAGACAGGTTGAGCTCTGTGTTTCATGCCACTGAAAAGGAAGAATTAAAAACTGGTTCAGTCATCTGTCCCCTGTGCGCCAAGCAGCAATTGGACAGGTTTTAGTATGCAGACCCTGCAAACGCAAGCAAGTTATATGCGCAGAAATCGTTAATGGGACACAGCCTTTGCCGCATAGCCAAAACACCCAAAAAAGAACCCTCCAGGTAAAAACTACAGCTTCTAAGAGATTTTTCACAAGGACTTATGCAGACCTTGCAGTCTTCACCTGACCCCTTTCCTTGGGCTTCGCCAGGGCTGACAAATCAAGGTCTGATTTTAAACGTTCAGTGCACAAGAGACACACACTCTAGGATCTGTGAGGCATAGACAGCTTCATTAAAAGGTATTTACAAGTCTCAAAATAGAAGATCTCTAAAGATACATCTGTGCATTTAGCTCTATTAGAGAGGCATGGTAGGCAGGTCTAGAGCACCATGATTCAGTGGAAGATTAAGAATAAATATGCCAGGCAACACACATTTTCTAGTGGAATATTTTCAAACTTGACCTCTTAATATCAGCCTAGTGTACACACGTTAAATTAAAATTTTAGAAAAAAATTACTAAACAATAAGAACGATGAAAAGAAATACATAGTTATGTTGACTCGATGCCTTTTATTTGAAAACATCCCATCAGGTTACAACTTACAAAATAATGCAAAAGTGAAGAATATCTTCACAAGACTAAAAGGTACCTGTTTATCTTCTTGAGAATCAGGCTCTCCTTTGCTGGAATCAGAATTTGTGTCATCATCTTCATCAGAACTGTTCATGATATCTTCTTCATCTGACTGAAGATCTCCCATTACATTAGCATGATTATGATGTTCTTCTAAGGACCTAAAATTAAAATATGTATAGTCAATAAACATACCATACTTTATTTATGTAAAGAACTTTCTGCTTTAACCCACAATAAATGGTCTAACTTGATAACAGAAACACTGAAAACAGTAGTGAGTAGTCTGAAGAGGACGATGACAGTTTTAGGCTCTTCCATAGCAGAATATGGGGTAATGGTTTCAAAGTGGAAGAAGGTAGATTTACATTAGTTGCAAGTAAGTTCTTCACCTTGAGGGTGGTGAGACAAAGGAACAGGTTGCCCAGGAAAGTTGTGGATGCTCCATCACTGGAGGTGTTCAAGACCAGGTTGGATGTGGCCTTGCACGACCTGGTCTAGTGGGAGGGGGCCCTCTCCATGGCAGGGGGGGTTGAAACTAGATGATCTTTAAAGGTCCCTTCCAACCCAAACTGTTCTATGGTTCTATGACCTGTAACTCGGAAATATTTTATCTATGCTGGTATTGAGAAAATGTTGACTGACAGTGAACAAAAGCCACAGTACTTAAGTTTTTCTTGTCTGTCAGAGTTTCCCTGACAGCAAAGTTTGTTAAGTCTATTCCCTTATTACTCTGTACATGTGTAATGCAGCATTTATGCTGTGTGCCAGAAGGCTAAAGAAAGCTCACAGCTGTTTTGCCCACCTCTAATAGCAGCAAGACTGTTTCAGGTGCTTGTACTCAGTCTGAAGCTTTCTGTCTGAAATTTTAGATGCATGCATATATACACAGGGCTGTTTCTCAATGAATACACTAAACAACTATCAGGGATGGCCACATTATAACTGTGCTGCCCAATAATGCTACTTAAAAATGAGAAAGCACAATCTTTTGTTATTCAAAACTCCCATCCCCCATACACAGACACCTTCCAGGTAGCTGTCAAAGCTATTAACAGTAACCTTGTTCTGCTGCTGTACAATGATGATAGAGGTCTCTCTTCATTAGCTTCAGTCTTATTTGCAATAGAGAAATTGCATGAGACAGGCACACAACTTCTTCCTCTAACTAGCCTTGACAACTTCAGTAGAGGTTTAAGAAATGCAATTCTACAAGAAAATAAAAAACAGGATGGGGAAAGATAAAGAAGAAAACAGACTAGAGAAAACAGAGCCTGAACTTTTGGTAGAGTAACATAGAAACACAGCAAATCTCTGGGCTGCTACATTTAATCCTCAAAAAAAACTGCTAATTGCCAAACACACTAAAACTGTCTCTAAATTCACATAATCTGTGCTCAAGGCCTGCAAAAAGATGCTGGGATGCCACCAGCTTATTATAATATGAAACAAAAGTTATTATCTACCCTACAAAACACAAAGCAAATCCAGAAACCCTTGTCTCCAAGATGCTGCAGCCAGCAGAGATCTCACTGTGCTGATCCACTCCCAGTTCTGCACACCCAGCGTCTGTCAGGGCTACACACTTCTCCATATACCTGCCCTCTCTCTCCCTGGGCAAGGGATGGTTACGACCAATCTTTTCTTTTCCTAACTTTGTATGACAAGAAAGCAGGAAAGGATGGAGGGCAACTCTGCAGACTCACCACCTCCAACTGTGATAGTTAGCAGGAAGAAAACCTGTCAGCGTGGATCCCATGGGAGATGGCTGCCCCAAAGCTGAATAGCAGAAATACGGAATACCAGCTGCATGAGGATGCTCCAGCAGCCACAGCAGCAAGGTGTTGACTACTCAATGCTCAAGGTAGAGTTAAAAAAAATCCAACCAAATCCTGAATAAAACAACACACAAACCATGATCACAAAGAGAAATATATTTAGAGATGAAGACAAGATTAGTTGGCCTGTGGACAGACCTTGATCAAGCCACAAAGACATAGAAAAGATTAAAATAGCTTGGTTCCATTAAGACAACACAGGAAGGACTCAGGAAACACCCAAGCAGTTACTGTCTCCCAGAACCGAATGGGGTGGGGAGCGGAAGAAGACTGCAAGCTCATTGCTGAGTTCAGATGAGACCCTGAGCCCATGCTGCAGCACCCAGTGTGCACAGAGACACCCATTTATTTGAGTTCGGAAACTATCGGCTTCCCATGGCAAGAGAGCGGCAACCAGAATAATGAGCACTGATGACAACAGGGTATGAAGTATGCCTGGGACAGCTCCTACAGAGCCTCTATAAGCTTCAGGAATAAAAAAGAAGCTTTTCACTGGAGCTTTCTCTGATACCACACTACTAGGAAGCTAAGACCTGCAGTTACTTCAGCAATTCAGAAAATCCTTTGTCTAGTCTAATTCACAGTCAAATGACCCATTGGCCTGAAAATGTTTATTTTAGCAGATGCTATCTCATATCTTTTTATTTTATAGATGACAAACATTGTTATTGTATCTGCAGCATTACATGAGGTAGATATACTGCCCTGCTTTAGTCAAAACCTGCAACAAATAACTATTGCTATTCCTTCCTTTACTGTATTATTCACAATTTTACCAACCACATATCACTGATTCTGCATCTGATCTGGGATTTTTTTTCCCCCCATTGCAAAATGGATTAAGTGCTTTATCTTTAACCACAATGAAATTCACTTTTTAGTCACTTATTCATTACATTTTACTTCTGTTAATGGTTTTACTTTTTGTTAATGCTTACTTTTGCCACTTTTTTCCTATCCTTCATGTTTGATTTAATTGCTGCTTTAATTTCCTTTAACTAAGATTCCTTCCCATCAAGAAAACAGTATTTTCACACTTGTGAAATCACAGTTCTTTTGCCTAATCATATTCTACAGGATGCCCACTCCCAGATGCTGCTATTAATTTCCATTTGAACTTTTCAGGGTAATCATGCCAACACTTGAAGTTTTAGAAAACTTGCCCTTTTCGAAATCATAAACAAGTATATTTCCAGATGAGGCTGTATTATGCTTGCACAACATAATCCCATCAATCACTGAAGGACAAAGATCAAACTAGCTGGCCTACACTGGGCAAAGAATTTTCTAAATGAAAGATTGTCTTATCTAATAGAAAGTTTTAGTAAAAAAAAACCAAAAAAACCACACTACATTTTTTAAATAATTAACTCCTGATGATTTAGGATGTTTAGTAAGTGCTCACAAATGAGGGCCATTCACCATGTAATTCTTTTTTCTTTTTGTGATTCACAAGAATGTTTTAACTGTAAGCTATTTTATTTCCCTTTGTGGTGCATATGCAACTACTATTCATGTAAAGGAAACTATGATACCTCAGAGAACCATCTACCAAACCTTGCCCACAGTATCTGCACCACTAGTCAAGGCACCACAGTGTAACCCCTATACATCCTTCCCTGTAATTGCTCTGCTCACAGCCTAACACAGCCCTCAGGTTCTTCCACATGATTTTGTGGAGGAGTTTTTGGTGTGGTTGGTTTGTTGTTGTTGTTTTGATTTCTGTTCTTCTTTCTTTGCTTTTTTTTTTTAAAGGAAAAAAAATAGTGGATGATTAGATGATTAATGATAAGAAGTCTGCTAGTACACAGTCCAGAATCAAAGAAACTGCCAGTTCAGAGATAGGACGCAATGCTGTGGCCATCAGTAGATGCTCTCCTAGTGGTATCTTCAGTTGTGCCCTCTTCCTAGAGAAGATGGTGACAAAGTCACTGTGTTGATCCACCTTTATCAGCTCTGTGCTGGAAAACACGCAACTCTCCCTGTACCTTCCACCTTAACCTTCCACCATAAATACTCTGGCTTTCCTGTCGGAACAGAAAGTACTTTTCTATTTACTGATTACTCCTTCTGTACTTTTACCTCTGAAACTATCTAGAATGTAAGTGTATATATACTTCTCTTATCTCTGGATGAAGTGAATTCAATCCCTTGTAGCCTTTAAATGAATTTGGAAACAGTAGTAAATCTTTAAATAAAGTGAATCTTTTCTGCCAAATATCGATTCTCCCTTTCCAAAATACCACAAGCATGTATAAACAAATGGTTATTTTTAAGCAGCTCTTCTGATAAGTATTTTGGGGATACCGTGAACTATATCTATCTTGTTCCCACTTCATCACGATTCTTTGTCCTACCCACAGCCATACCAAGAGAAACTTCTGCATTATCAGTCATGTGAAACACCATCACTGCCAACTCACTGTGCTGCCCACTGAGTAAGAATATCTTGCTGTATCTTGTGAGCATGTTATCTAAATATAGACGCAGGACTTTCTTGACACATAAAAATGAAGGGATCGTTAGTCTGCCTCAGAATGAACAGTTTATGAGATGAAGCACAGACTGTGCTGTATTTTTCTAATGCAATAGTAAAATATTAAGGAAACAAAAACATGTCAGTCCTAGTAAGGCATATAGCAAGATAAACTGTAAAAACTTAAGGTCAGCCATCAAGATATTGCCGCCAGAAAAATTAATGCTAATTGGCATAAAACCCTCCTATTGTCTTCAAAAGATGACCAAGAATCAGAGTAACTTATTTGCATTATTACAGAAGCTTCAAGTACACCTGCAGCTTTACTTTCAGACACTAATTTAGACACTGCACAGGACTCTATAGCCTGAAGTAACAATAAACATTTCAGTCTCAGTTCCCAATTCATTTAGAAGGCAAATAGTATTTTAAGCTTGACTGAGATGATTCAGAGAGATTCTCTGCCATGGAATGCCCCAACATTAAGTATTTTATAGTATACTAGAATTACTTCAAGTGTTAGCATCACCATAACTACTAAAAAGCAAGATTTCATAGCTCCAAATTATTTGTTAAAACAGACAAATCCACAGTGCTGCTTTACACACATTTCCTTGTGATCTTCATTATTTTTAGATTTTTTTTTTTCTACTTCCAATAAGTAACCAAAAATACATAGGAATGCTGAATGAACAGAAATTTGTACACAACACTCTGCTAAGTTCTTTTATCATCCATTTGTTATTTTAAAAGGAGTGTCCACTCTACTCTGCTTTTGTAAGAGTGTCCCAACATAGTTATCCTTCTCCTGTCTCTTCCTCCAGTATTTCATTGTGGGTTTTGTGGG